TGGCAGAAACCATCTGTTGAGCACTTGGTCAACTCTTTATTGATTGAACATTCAATGGAAAAAATAAATAAGAGGAACAGGGATTGACTGAAAAACCCACATGAGTTAAGAAATAGGTCTCTGATTTCTTCCCAACTGCATGGGCATAAAAGAGGTATGAAGGAAATTGTTTGAAGTCAAGACTGCCACAATGCACTTTGTCACAGGTCAATTGGCAAGGGTGTCCAGGATCTTGGTGAAGGTGCTTCTGAGGGATTTAATCCTGGTTTATAGAATGAATATAGAATGAATCATCCTGGTTTATAGAATGAATCCTGGTTTATAGAATGAATATAGAATATAATATATAATAATATAAGTTAATAGTACAATAATATGTTAATTGCAGGAAAATTACATTAAAACACTAATCAGGAGATCTTGATTTGTCCCATAATCCATGATTGAAATGAGCACAGGACCATTATTAAATTGTATTTGTAATAGAAAAGGCCATGAATTTCAGCTTCATGCTGTTTAAGGTAAAAAGGAAAATGTAAGGTAGAGAGAGAAAGAGAGACAGAGACAGACAGACTAGTGATGACGTTAAAAGTTTTAGATTAATTGACCTTGCTTTGATATCTAGGAAAATAGAGGAATAAATCAAAAGGACAATTGATTTTAATATATCCCAAAGGAGAGGGAAAGTGGGAGTGACAAACAGCATGACTCTGGAAGAAGTAAATCACCGTTGAGTTAATCTAATTTTATTCTCTAACCCAATGACAGGACTTAAGTATTAGAAGAAGCCAGAGTTCCTGTATCTTCACTGCAGTAAGGTTTAGTTTCTTTGTTACACAATGTTCTCATCAACCAGTAGAGAAAATGTAGTCTTGAGAAAACCGAAGTATCGCTTGATACTTGCCAAGTAAGCATCCAGACAAACCTATTGGATGCTTATAGAATGCTAATTGTACTCATTTCTAGAAATTAAGACTAACAAGGTGTGGAATTGTCTGTCTAAGAAAGATGCTAAATTTGTGGTAGATTTACAGGATTCCAAAGTTTGAAATAAATTGGATGGTGAAAAATGTGGAGTTGTATGAGCCCCCAATAAAACGATTTAAAAAAAGAGTAAATTTCTGTAATGTGGACATTTTCCTTAGTTTTGTTTACTTTGAAATTTGAAGCACTCAGGTCAGATATTTTGTAGAGCATCATAAGTTTAGATTTGCCTATGTTTCTCATGATTATAATCAGCTGTATGCATGCTTGGTCAGTGTGGCCCACAATGATGTTCTGTTCTTCTCAGTACATTATACCTAGAGACATTGACATGTATTATTCTCATTATCGATGCCCTTGACATCTATTACTTATTTAAAGTAGTCTCCCAGATTTTTTCTACAACTGGTCACTATTTTTCCTATCATTAATAAATTATACATATTTATTTATACATATCATTAATCATATTTCCTGTGACTATGCCTTATGGAAAAACTTTGTCATACAATTTCAGCCATAAGTGCTAATACACTTTTTCCCCTCTACTTTATAAGTTATTACTTTAGTGTTCCCTTAATACTGCTTCTGGTCTTGCAATGAATTAAAGAGGCAGCCATGGTTGTGTCATGGGTACGCACTGGGCTTCTGTCCTGAAGATGGGCAGTTCTAACCCCTGGGCCACTCCGCTGGAGAAAGTCTGAGCTTTCTACTTCCCTGAACAGTTAGTCTCGAAAATTCACAGGGGCAGTTCTAGCCTGTCCTAAAAGGTCACTATGAGTTAGCATCCATTCTATGGCAGATAGATAGATCGATAAATAATGAGTTAAGTGTTGAGCTGCTAACTGCATAGTCAGAGGTTCAAACCCCCCAGTTATTCAGAGGGATAGTTTTTGCTCCTGTAAAGATTTAGTTTTACAAATCCCAAGGAGCAGTTCTACTCTGTCTTATAGGGTCACTATGAGTCGGGATGGATTGGATAGCAGTGAATGAGTCGTGAAACACTATCAGCTCATCTATATTTGATGGGTGGCATTCCACTTTAAAGAGACATTTTTCTTTTCCAAAATACATGTTTTTAAAAAATCTGTTGCTTGGTGTCTTCCTTTAGTGATTTTAATCTTTTGTAATAGCTATTTTTATTGTGTAATTGACCCCCATTTGGTCTGTGGGAGACTCTAAAAGCTGGGGTCTGTGACCCATTGTCATGGTCCTGTCATTTTTAAAATTTCTCCGGAAAAAAAAAACAAACCCTGTCACTTCAAACACTGTATGCTTTTAAGTCTCTTCTGTGTACTTAGTGTGCTAATATGCCAGCATACTCTTTCAGTATCTTTACAAGTCAAACAGGCATTTTTTTCTTCAAGTGATTTTTTTATGTCACTGTTAGGATTTATGTTTTCTTGCACTTCTTGGTTCTTTTTAAAAATTTGTTTTTGGACCTTTCTATATTTCTGAAATGCCTCTGGTAGGAGCTTGAAAGATAGTTCTGCTAGAATTTCTGTCTGAGTCTCTATTTACAGATAATTTGACATTTTTATTATTCTCAAATTCACAGTTAAATCGAAGGCCTAGGATTTGTGTGTTTTTATTTCTTTTTGCTGGCTGTAAGTATATATATATATGTAGGAATACATATGTTAAAATATATAGATTTATGTTTGAGGATATGTAGAGTTTCAGATCTAAGAAATTGCTATTACCACAACTACCCAGAAATTCAAGGTCCTTGATTTGTAAACAGTCTGTAAAATATGTTGATATTTCACGACTCTTTGCAGTGTGCCGTGGTGTAACCAGAGTTTTTGGGTTTCATGGTCTCACCTTTGTGGTAAAAGCTTTCATAATACTGTTAATCTAGTTAAATGGAAGGTTTTTTATCTTTTCTTTAAAAGCATTTAAATATTTTATCAAAGGATAGATATATCAACCCCAAAGTACTTTTTTTTCTGGAATACATATCTATGATAAATGTAAAGCAATTAATTTAGATCATGAACTCTGGGTTATATACCAATTCATTGTGTTTGTTACTTTCTCTGTTAACATTAAAATGACCAAATATATATCTAAATATTTGGAAATTAGAAACCAAACCCTTATAACACACATGTATAGATTAAAACAATAATCAATGGGTTGATTGTACAAGTCCAGTGAAAAATAATAGTCTTAGATAATCCCTTCAACTGATGAAATGCACTTTTTTAGACATCAATAAAATATTTTCTATAACTTCTTAGAGCAGAGAGAACTTACTTTGTTGGTAGATAAAAGAAAGCTTGGATCATGAGCAAAATCTTAAAATTGGCAGAGTAGAAGACAGTTTGCAAAAAGATCGTACGGAGAGCCATCTCGAGTGGAAGACCTCTTCCTGTGGCCCACATGGAAGCTGCAAGCCCAGTTCTATAAAATTGTCTCTCTTTAAAAAAGTTAGACATTTAATTCTTATGAGAATTAGCCTACTATTAAATAGTGAACTCTTCTACAGCATGCGGTGTGACAAACAAAACACATCAGTAATGAGGCTTGATGGTTTATCAGCCATCCAATTGGCAATCCCCCTTCTGGACGCCACCGTGTAACGGGTTCTTGTAGCCAGGAGCAGAGTGTCAGAAACCCACCACTTGTGACCTCAGTCTCACTGCCCACTGGCGTTGTCAAAACAGGCAAGCCACAGGATGGGTCAGCCGCAGTTTCTTGCCTGCGGGTTTAATATGTTAATGGATGAAGGAGTATGCAGATGAGCTTCTTTTATACCTTCATAATTCTCTTCAAATACCATATGCTAATTGAACTAGTATCTTCTATTTAAATATGGAAGAATTCCATTTGTAAAGATAAATCCTTTTTTGACTTTTGTCCTTCCACTATAAGTTTACTGACTATATAGAATTTCCTCTTGTTGGAGAGACCCCCTGTTGAGCGTCAGTAAATCATTTAGCTCTGTGCAGGGAAAGCTCACTGCCTTTCTGGTGGTGTCTTTCACACATCAAAGGAAGGTAAATTAGTCTTTCTACTTAGAATGCTTGTTCTGCATGTTGCACTGTTGATATGGTTACATCGGGTTGGGTGAGTGTAAGAGCACCTTTCCTGTATTAGTAAACTGCTGTTTCTGCTGGGCTATGAAAACCTAATCTCTCTGGTGTAATGATGAAAGGTGATGTTCTTGCAAATATTCTCGCTCTCACATGTACTCCATATTTAGTGGTAATATTTATTTGTACTGTCTATCGTGTATATGATTGATTTTAAACGACATTCTAAAAGAGTTATGGGTAATTTTCATGAGATTACATTTTATCTTGCTTCTTTTAAACAATTCCTTTATAAGGCACTAACGTAGTGACATAAGAGCCATTTAAGTTGAGAATATTTTGAGCAATGTAATTAATATATGGTCTTTCTAGAAGCCCACCTCTATTTTTGATGAAATAACATTGTACTTACAGTGACTTCCAGGAAAACAGAGATCAAATCTGATTGGAGGTTTGTGATAAGTGCAAATGGCATACCTGAATTTCTCACGGTGTCTGGTTATCAATTAGAATTGAAGGACAGTTACAAAGTGAATTGGCGCAATTCTCTGGATAAGTAAAGCAAAATTCACTTCTCCTTAGTTATCTACATATATCAGATAAAAGGACATTTTGCAAACTTGAATTATTTGAATAATCCCTTAGCTCTCCAGATAAATTTATGTGTAAACATCTCATATTTTAAAATTGCTTTCCTCAGTTCTGCCATTCTTGTGGCAGAACTTGTAGAGTGTTCCTTTGAAATAATTCTCAAGCCAATGGAGAGTTTTCCTACTTAACAGTCCCCTCCTGGACTGATCTCTAGAATATTTGCATGTACTTGGGAATACTGCATTCATCAGCCCATTTATAGTTTGCTAGTAGTATGTTTGCAAATCCTTATTTCCCTACGTTAGAGTCTGAGTGTGTGTTGGTCTAGATTCTTTTTTCCTGTGACCTTGGCAAATTGCTTACTCTTTGGGATTTTTGCTTCTTCCACAGATGCATTTTGTAGGAGTATTTTGAGGATGAATGTTTGCAAATCATTTTGAAATTGCCAAGCACCATATACAGTAAGTAATACATATTTTTATTTTCCCTCTCAATTTCAGTGAGGCTGAATGAATTTGGCAGACAGTCATAAAAGAACACATTTCTATTTACAGTTCTTGACATTTGTGAATACTGAAGGAAAATGTATATAAAAGATAAAAATTTGATAAGCTATTTGCTAGTCTGAATTAAAGTATATGATTTCAAGGTTTCTAAATGCCTGGTTTTATTATTGTTCTGTGTCTATAGCACATAATGTTTATCACATATTCTTTAAATGAAAAATGTAAAGAGAATGCTTAATGATATTAACCACTGTCGATAGTGATATTAAAAAAAAAATGACAGAAAGGTTTGCCCTGATAGCACTGTTGGGTGTATGTTGAATGTCTAACCTTAATGTCTGAGGTTCAACTATCTCTTTAGGAGAAAGATGATGCTGTTTGATCCTGTAAAGACTGACAGTCTCAGACATTCTATCTAAAGGTCACTATGAACCAGAATGGAGTGCATGTAGTAGGTTTGGTTTGATTTAAATTTTGCTATGTATCAAGTTAATTTGTAGGATTATTATTTTAATCTTTCTAAAAATATTTTTAAAACCCTCCTAATTTCTATTCCGATTTTATAAATGAAAACTGAGGCTTGGGAAGTTGTAATCGCCTGTTCATTATCTCTTGAAAGGGATGAATCTTGGCTTTGAAAACAAGACTTTACTAAATGTTGCCTCCAGCAATCATTTAGAAAAAAATAACTAATTTTGATCCAAAAACCAGAAAATTAAGAGTTTAACCCAATCTAGTGATTTCATTTAAATTTCGGTCAGTTTATCTAAATATGTTCCAGATTTAAAATTTTTATTATTGTTTATCATTTCATGACTTTTGTTCCAAATGATGGCTTACAATTTCTGATTTGGACTGCTTTAACTTAGTTCAGAAATAAGTGAAAATGTGGCTGTCTGAAAGAACTTTTAGAATTATCTAAGCTATTCTTTGATGAAAGGTGTTCTTAATGAAAGTTCTACAGCTATTTGAGTTCTCTTTCATGTAGGAAAACAACAACAACGAAACTAGACAGTATGATTTATATCTCAAAATTGGCAGGGTCCATAGAATTGGAGTCTGAGTCTTACATTCTTTGTCACTTTATTTGATTTGGGATTTGATTTGATTTACTGATATGGGATTATCTAACGGACAATTTCAGAATATAACTTGCAGAAAAATATAGAAAAAATTATGGCAGTATTGGTGTTTGTACATTTTCTCCCAATGTACCTAGTTTAAAAAAGGTATTGTAGTTATTTAAGAATCCAACTCTAAATTCAGACTTCTTAGCTTTAAAACCTAGCTGTTTCCACTTTTTAACTATCTAATCTTGAATAAATTGTGTAGTGCTTCTGCTATAAAATAGATATAAGGTTTGGATCTACTACATTTGTGATGAATGAGTTAATCTAAATAAAATACATGGCTTAGTTCTAAGTAACTTTGAAGTAAATGTTAGCATTTATCAAACTATCATTGGTTAATTTGGACATATTATATTAATTCAAGTATATTTGAGAATCAAACCTCTTTATTTCATAATCAGACCATATAACGTATGCAACATAAGTACTTAGTGGATACTGTTGACTGCTCAAGACGATAAAAAGTTAAGGTTTTATAAACAGAGCAAGATGATTTAATAGTTTCTTTTACTTCAGATAAACCATTGAGCCAAGTAATATTTATGTGTACCTACATGAAGAAACAAACTATGTGTTCAATTGAGGGCTTCAGAAAGTTCATGAAAAAATGGAATTAAAACATAATGGAATTATACCCCAATTTTTTTACTCCCCTTCTTGTATACAAAACCCAACCCGACCCATTGGTGTCAAGTTGAATTCAACTCATAGTGACTTCTCAGCAGAATAGAACTGTCCCACGGGGTTTCCAAAGCTGCCTGTCATCTTTGCAGAGACAATCTGGCATATCTTTTTCCTGTGAAATGCTGGTGGGTTTGCATTGCCAACCTTTTGACTGGTAGCTGAGCGCTGCACATATAATACAGAAGATATATATGTGTGTGTGTATTCTGTTTATTGCGTATGTGTATAGTACATTATATATATTTGGTTTATTGACCATAGAAATAAGATTGAAAGTGTGTATTTGTATATTTCTGGAGAGAAATGGCACTTATGAAGTACCTGTGGAGTCTTAAACGTTTACCTTGAAGGAGACAGGGCAGGTTCATAAAACTAAATGAAGAAAATAGTTGGCAGGCTTGTAGAATAATTTGTTAGAACAATCATACCCATGGCTTTATTAAACACTTCATAGAAACTGAAGGATTCATGAAAAGAATGCTATATAAAGTATGAACTTTGTCTCATACAGTTTACATAAACATCTCAGTAAATCTAAGCAATAATGTCATGCATTAGGTATATATGTTTCCTTCTCCATTTTTCATATGAGGAAATGTACAACAGAAAGTTTAAATCTCTCCTTATGGTAATGAAGCTTGAGGCTAATCTAATTCTAAAGCTTTTCTTTATCCTCTTAACCTAGGTATTAAGAACGGTGGATCTCTGGCTGATCTTTCCATTTTTAACTTGTATAAAAACATTGTTTTCAAATCTCATTTCATAAAACCATGCATGCCTTTAGTAGATGAGTCATTTATGATTACATTTAAAGTAAAATAAAAGAAATAACAATTGCCTTGCATTGTCAATAGAATTACTTAACAATCTAAAACTAATTGCCCTAAAATTTGGTGAATGATTAAAGAACAACTTAGCAAATTAAAAAGCTCTTTCTGAGGGCAGAAGCCATCCTTTATAATTTTAACTTATCAGAAGTGACTGCACTTTTTCTCTTGTATGCCTTCAACCATTCCATGTAGTGCAGAGAAGTTTGGAAGAGGGAGTTCATCTTGACTTAAAGACTTTTTCCCCATTTTCTTGGGTTTTAGAGTGATTTTTTTTTTAACACACCTTGGCTACCCTGAAGCTTCCTGTACCTTTTCAATTCTTTACTAATCTTAATAGGATTCCTGGGGTGTACTGGGTTATGTATTGGGCTGTTAACTTCAAGGTTAGCCATTTGAAACCACCAGCCACTCTGAGGGAGAAAGATAAAGCTTTCTACTCCCTTAAAGAGTGAGGTAGTTAGTTTATTGTGCCAACCTGGCTGATAAACACTTGTGGGTTAATTGAAGGGCGGAGGGAAAGATGGCTCAGTGAGCCTCGCCTTTCTAGTTCTCGGGTCTCTTGCTTTCTGATGGTCCGACCAGGGTGCAGCTGCCTTAGCCAGTTCCCTGCTTTAGCTCGCAAGGCTCACTTCCTGCAAGACATCCCTGAGGAGAAGCCACATGGACCTACCCCGATGCAGCCTTGGGTGCTGGAGCACCTGTGTGAAGACCCCGCCATCGCTGAGATGCTTACACATTCACTGACTCGTCTTTCCTCCTGCAGTTGGTGTCATAGTGTGTATTTTGTGAGATGAAGGAGGACTTTGTGGACTGGTGTTGGACATATGGGTTAATGCTGGACTTGGGCAGCACTGGGTTGGGGTGTTTTCTTGATGCACACTTAACCTTTATATAAAACTCTCTCTTATACATGAGTGTCTGTGGATTTGTTTCTCTAAAGCACCCAGACTAACACAAAGAGTTACAGTCTAAGAAACCCACAGAGCCCCTTCTACTCTGTCCTTTAGAGTTCTGATCTGGGATTGACTCAATGGCAGTTTTCCTTGAGTAATTTTTAGCCTATTACACTTAAGGCAACACATTATTCTGAATCTCATGCCATTTCACTTTACTAAATGAACATGTTCAACATTTTATTTTGGTTATATTTTCAAACTTAATTCTTAGTTAAAAGAATGCCAATACCAGTTACTATAGAGTAGAGATTCTTAATCATGATGACTCCATAGTTGTCAGAGTAAAAGAATTTTCCTCAATGACTGATTCTTTTTTGAAATAGATATCTAGCACTTTCTTCAAATGTGCCTATGTTGGACCTGAGCCTCAGTATTTCAGTTAAAAGGTGAGCTCATTAACCATTTGCTCTTTTGAAAGATCATAAATATAGAATTGGATTTAAGTCTTGTACTTCCTATTTCTTTTACTTCTGAGAGGGAAGAGTTTACAGATTACTTCTACTCTTAATTTTCAGTATTGGTCTCTGGAAGACAAAGGCAGGGACTTCATTTTGTAATTCTATTTCATCCCATCTAATCAATACTTATTGCCATCTTCTCCACCATATGAGCCATGGTGAGAAAATAGAAAAGAAAGACAAGAATTGCTCTCAGGGTCCGTTTGAGACCACCATCTCCTCCTTAGGAGAAACATGGGACTTTCTACTGTGAATCGTTACAGCCTCAGAAGCCCAGAGGGCCAGGCCCGCTCTGGCATGGGGCACTCTGGATGAATCACCATTAACTCCATGGCAGTGAGTTTGGAGTTTTGATAGACATAAATAAAGCCGTCGATATAGTGAATTATGTCATAAGAATGGTAAAAACTAAGCAAGATAATAAAAAATTTTTCAAATAACTAAAGTAATAATAAAAGGTCGAGACCTGTGGAAAACATAAACCATTAAAAGATTTACCAGAAAGGAGATATAATCTTGAATTGTATCAGTCCAAAGTTTCACCATAGGAATTGCATTGGAGCTATGTCTTGATATGAGTGGGAAATTTTAGCATAGGAGGGAAAGCAAATGGCATACTCAGGCTTCAAGATGAAAAGGCATAACTCACATTCAATGAATAATAAAGCAATACATTCAGAAACTACATTTCTTATGTTTGACTAGATATAGTTAATACTAGAAAATAAAGCTTGAACCCTATTGGAAGTGATAACCAATGTAAGACATTTGAATTTAACCGTTAGGACAATTTAAAAAAATGTAAAGATAAATATCTTGTCAGGGCCAATTCTGTGCACAACAAATAAAGTTTCTCTTTTGCATATTAGACTGGTGGTACCTTCCTAACACGTTGCA